CTTTTACAATCTTCTTTTCAGCGCGATACATTATTTTTTTTTCGAATTTTTTTTTTTTTCAAAGGATGTATATAGGCGCCGGGTTTGAAAAGGAAGAAATGTATATATAGCGAGACGATGTTTATCCATCAACGAAAAAGACCGAGCGCGAGTAATAAAAGCGAAACGCGAGAAGAACCGGTGCAACGAGCTCTGTTGGAAATACAAAATCCGTTTCTCACGATCGAGACGATTATTTTTCGTTCCGTCCCATGACGTCGCGTCGCGTCGCGACGCAAGCCAGCCGAGGCCGCGGCGTTCCATTTTCATCGTAATGGATGGACCCTATAATGGTCGAGCCAGGCGAAACGAGTCACGGTTAAAGGTCTCCTCCTTAGAGATCTTTCGCCGCGTCCGCGTCTGGATAACGCAACGAGACGATCGCGACCGTACGACTACCGTCTAACGAACGAATTGAGTATATAACGAACAAAAGTAAAGCGAGTTCTAAGACTTCTCTGCTTGGCAACAAGACGCGACCGCAAGAGACTCGCCCCGTCTCTCTCGCCCCGTCTCGTCGGTTCGATTAAGATGATTAGGTATACGCCTGATAAAGCGAGATCGCAAGCGAGATTCAACTTCGCAAATCCAACCTCTCTCGGGAAACGATGAAAATTCAAAAATCAGATGACGCCTTTATATATTGGTCTTTGTTGCGCTCACGCTTACGCTTTACTTTCCGTTTCCCGACGACATTCGGATTCCGGGATTTCTCACCTTGCAACGGCACTTGACGCACTTCATCTCGCCGTGCGAGTGCACCCGGGGATGCCACTCCATGCCGTTCTCGTAGGGCCCGCCGAGAGGATATTTGCAACCACCGGAAGAGAGTATCTCCTCCGCGGTGCGTCGCACCGAGGGTAACGCCTGATCCCTCGGTAGCCGTAGGGTGTCGCTCGTCGCCGTGGTGACCACGTTGCTACGAGGCGTCGTCGCCGGGCATTGTCTGCAGCAGGCTTTCTTGTCCGGCCTGAAGGCGATTTTCTCGTCGCACTCGAGCGGCGGACACTGCACCCGCGGACATTTCACCTCCAACGTGACAGCCTGCGAGACAAATGGGTTTCCAATGTAAATCGCGGAGGTGACCTCTCGTACCTGCGTAACCCACGTTACGCCCCATTTATTCGTTTCACGCATTTATTCGTTTCGTCACGTCAGCTATGCAACTTCCCATCCCGGAGTTTTTTTGTAGTTTGTATAGTTAATTTAACGAGTTTTGTTTCCTAGTGTCTTTTAATGGCGCATCGGATGTACGTCGAATAAAGAATATTTGTCGTTTAATTTGGTTTAAGGACGCAGACATAATGTGAGATATTTCCACGAGTAATTCCTACACGGGGCTAATGTGTCAATTGGCTAGAAAGCGATTGCCGAGTATTCAATAAATTGCAATCGTTTCGAAAATCTTGTCGTTGAATCATTCAATTAAGCTCATTAGTAAGTGCCAGACCGCAGCCGCATTCTTCGTGGTGCGACGCGCTCAGGTTTTTCCGCGTTGCAAACTCGCGCACGGAGATAATTGTCAAGGAATTGTCGTGACCATTGCTTTTAACGCAATTTGTCCGAGAACGTAATTGTAACATACGTATGGAGAAAATATGCGACAAATAGAGGAGATATCCTATTATATTTTTTACTTGTTGCATTTTAGGAATTAATACGAAAAAAAAGGAGAAATGTACTTAATATCTCAAAATCTCGTCGCTCTATTCAATTATAATTTTAAGAAAATTAATAAATTAATTTAACAACTTACGTCGCAAGTACAAACTGCACAAGTGTCGAATCCTACTGGTGGTAAATACGGATGCCAGGATGATCCCGCGAGATGATATTGTCCGGCCAACGTGCAACCTCTCGTGATATTGGTCGTAACGTTACTTTCGCTACTCATTGGCGCTGAAATATCATTAACAAAACATTAAACATCGATATTAAGACCAATTTTATTAAATAATTATTTTAATATAATTTGTCACTCGATCGTTACTTTTGCACGATAAATTTTTATTTTATTTCATATTTATGTTCTACTTTGTAAAATAAAAATTCTAAGAATTTCTTCAATTTGACATTGTTTCTTATGAAAAAAATTTTTTTCAACAAAACTAAACATATCCTACTTGCGCATATCGGACAACAGTGGCCGCTCGGTGGTTGCTTGAGTTGTTTTCCCAATGCGCAAGAGACCGTCGGGCAGGGTACCGTGTCGCATTGAGCCAAACCGCGATAACAATGACACATCGAGCAGGGATCCGAGCTCGAGGTCCATTGCGTACCCTCCTCGTAAAATCTGGTCTCGTGGAAACACGCACCAGTCTCGATATCCGATCTAGGTGGTTGTAGATTGTACGCTACCACGGACGCAACGTCGTTGTCGGCGTAATACGGAAGACAGCTAATCGGCGCCCTGGCCTTGAAAGGGGCTTTCAGAATGTGAGTGACGTTTTTATCCGTTACCTCGAGAAAACCGATGCCTGTCTCGATTCTGTAGAGCTCCATCGACGACAATCCAGTAACCGAGCCCTCTAAGGAATACCCCGTGAATTCTTCGAGGAGTCTTCTGGCGACGGGCGCTCCCTGCGCCAACATCGGCATCGTTTCCAAGTACAAACGGAACGTCCACGGTTCCGGAGAGGAGGGCGGGAAACCAGCGAGTTCCAGTTCGTAGTGCAGGGAGCAGTCCAGGTCCACCGCGATCCATATCAAGCCGACCGGTCCGGAATGCGTCGGCTCCTTAATTCGTCTTCTCTGCAGCAGCACGGGCGCGGCCGTGTCTCTGGCGTCTGCTACTGGTCTCTCCAGGAGTCTGCCGCGCAACATGGAGCCGAGATGACTGGCAGCGATCACGGAGAGCTCCTCGTTGAAGAGCGGTTGTAACAGTCTCGGTCCGGGCCGGTCCAAGGAACCATTCGCCAGGCCGCCGACCAAGGAGGGTGTCAGATCCTCGAGTTCCATCCTCCGTTTTCCTCCCTCGTCCACGAGTGTCACTAGAGGACTCTCCTCTTCGAGTCCTATCAACTGAACTCCGTAACGTAGGGCACCGATACGGTCCAGGAAGGCCCAGGCTAATCCAGACGCCAGGGACGGCGTTTCCGACAACAGCAGTGTCTGATACATGTCGCAAGTCGCGCGTGGACCAACCGTACCGGTGAGTCGCAGAGCCTGCGGATCCTTGCGGGACATTATACTGATAGACAACTTGCCCCGAGCCAACAAACGAAGATCAGTCCCGGAAAGCGCGCTGCGAACCTCGCCGTAATTCAGCTCGTTCGACGGCTTCCTCACCATTATCTCCTCGCGAAGGACCACGTAATCCTTCTCGTAATGCTCCAGTTGGACGATTAACGGGACGTCAGCCACGTCGTTCGGCAGGAAGAGACCGTTGAAGACGAGCGATACGTGAATCGACGGCGCCGAGGCGGACGAGGCGGACACGATCGCGGTCGCGCCCGCGCCGGACATCAGCGTCCGGTCGACGCCCATCGTCGGCTCCAAGAGCGAGGAGAACTGCTCGGTCGAGAGCGCGCGGTAGCGCGACAACTGGCCGGTCAGGCTCGACAAGGGCTCCCAGAGGAAGGACACGTGCAGCCTCTCCTCGCGCAACAACTTGCGATAGTCGCGCGGCACACGTCTCCACACCCCGCAGAGCTTCCCCGTAGCGTTCTGATACGCGCCACCGACCGGGTCGATCACCTGCTCCTCGAGGATGCTGCCGGACCCGTCGACGAACTGAATGCTACGCGGCCGGGGCGTCGACGCGGATAAGTAGAACGCGTAATAGAGATTCTTGCGGTGGAACGTGAAGCGACCGGTCGCCAGGTAGTTGTACGCGTTGTTGTTGTAAATCGACATCGGGGTCGGATCGTCGCGACTGCGCAGAGACTGCGACGTTCTGCCCGTTAACAGGGTGCCGAAATCTGGAATCAGCAAGGATCGTCTGAGCCAGGGAGAGAGGCACGACTTTTCACAAACGGATGGAAAACAAACGTCAAGCTCGAACGCACATAAGAACTTTAGTAAATATCTAAAAAAACATCTCTATTCAAGAAAGTATATTTTATGAAATATAAAAAAAATATCTTAAAAAGTATTTAAAAAAAAATCTCACGTTTCAGGCTCCGCTCCTCTTCCTCCGAGGTCAATTGTGCTGGCAGATCTTGGACTATATCTGCGTCTGCAACGAAAGATTTATTCCATCGTAAACGTGGACGTTGATATAATTGATCGCTCGGTTGTACAATCCTTCCGGTCATTCAACGAGCGGCAACTTACATTCATGAGAAGAGCATTGTGATATTAATCCGTAATAGGTATTGAGAACTTTCTCGGCCAATTTTCACGACTTGATCTCTCATCCATTTCATATATGGATTTTACGTTAAAAATAATTCGCGGTATATATTTAAGCGACAAGCGGGAGATAATTCTCGCTTTCTTGGGCGATCTTCGGGAGGGCTCGTAAATTATATGCGGAATTAACGCCGCGTAAATCACGAACGATATAAAACCAAATGCATATTCTATACCCGAGAGGATCTCTCGGGAGGATAAAACTCTCCGCGCGCAGGAGAATGGCAAAAGTCCTTTGCACTTTGCATCGGACGCGATATACCGGCGGCGGTTTCCTCTCTTTCTCTCTTCCTCCCTCCCGCCCTCTCTCCTTCTCTCACCCCCTCCATCCTCTCTCCCCGAGCGTCCCTCCTTCGAGACGGATGTAAAAATAAAAATAACCGGTCGATCGTCGATCGTCGATCCCCATTGAGCCGATTCAGCGGCCGGTGGTGGCATGTGCACCGACCATAAAGTATGCCCGCGCGCGGTAGGAAAAGAGTCGACTGGCGCCAACCGTCGCTACTTTGAATGCTACTTTTATGGCGCATGCCGCGCCGGTTCAGCGCCACGAAGACGTTAATTGCCGCGCGCAAAACGTACAGCACGCCTCGCCCGTCGACCGACCAGTTACTAACTAAACCGTTTCCGCCTACCTAATCGGATCTCCGACGACCGATGGCACCGGTCTGTCGCGCCATTAATATCGGGGAGAGACGGATATGAGTGATAATGCGGTTAATTATGAGAATTAATTGCCCCGCGCCACCGGGACCCATCTAGGAGCGGCACTTTTTGCGTATCCTCCTTTCCGTTTTCGTTTTCACGTCGCGGATCGGTCACCCGCCGAGGTCATCTCGGTCTCCTTTATAGGCCCCCCCCCCCCCTCGGAGCAGCTCGCGCTCATGCCAAATTCAGTTCGCGATTCCTTTGCCACGGAACGATCGTGACGCGGATTCCGCGTTTTGCAATCGCGACTAGAAAGGATATAACGCGTCATCTAACAAATATGTCGGTGGCTTGTAGTCACCGCCGAAAGTTCGCCATCTAAGGCATCGTTTCGGACAGAAGGACGATCGTTACTCAGGATTAAGGATCGTCGAGGTGAAAGATCTAAACGTCGCAAACTTTTGAAACGAAGCGGAGGTCGTGGATCGTGGAGGTCCCGCTCGTAAAACTGTAAATCCTTTCGCGATCTATCCTCTGAAATCCTCTCTCTCTCTCTGTCTCTTTTCAAATAAAATCCTACGCGCTTCGGGAGATTTGTCTCATCCTCTTTTTCTGCGACTGCGAATTTGGACATCGTGTGTTTGCGTCTCGCTATTGTCGAGACGAGCAGGGGCTGATTTTTGATGATCGCGCGTCATGGTCGCCGACCATGAGAATCGGCGGGGACCAAATGAGAATCGATGCGACGATCCAATCAACGGGCTCAAGAGTCGCAGTTATATTTCCTCGTGGAACGTATAAGGCAAGGCGCTGCTAATTGCGGCCAGTTTCACCTTTCATCAGCAGGGGGCAACGAGCCCCTATCAGACGGCGGCGGCGGCGGCGGCGACGATGACGACAACGGCGGCGATGATTATTATGGCGACCGTAGACGAGCCGTGGAGAAAATAAACTTGATGCGCGTGATATTGATGCGCGAACGTTCTATGAGAATAAATGACCGGCACGGGAGCGGTGCTAGAGAGCGATGCGATTATCAAAAATGATTTGTTCCGTCATTATCATCGTCGTCGTCGCCGCCATCGTCGTCGCCGCTGATCCCCTCGTGGTACGGACGGCGGAATTGTGGCGACAACGAGCTCTTTATCAAAAGTGTCATATTAACCTAATTGATAATATGCGCGCCTCTCCCGTTGCATCGCCAATAGCTGCGCGATAAGTGACCGTAAAAATTTAACGAAACGGCGACCTCGTCGTCTCTGTTTACGGACGCTCGGAGCTCGGCCGAAAGAAAACGCCCGAACGAAACTCGTACAAACGGCGCGAGATAAAATAAAATCAAGTAGAGTAAAAAGAGAAGAATATCGCCGCTCCCATCGAACGAATCTTCGCTTCGTTCCATTCGAAATCATTCTCTATCTTTCTCTCTCTCTCTCTCTCTCTCTTTTTTACTCATCCCATCTATTCCTATATTCTCATCTCTCGCGCACGTTATGCCCGATCATTACGTATGCTAATATTTACATTTAGATTGCACAGCTTAATCGAAGTGACGCCATGCGGTAATATAGCCGGCGCCATGGCGCTAAACCGTGGCGTCCGTCCCCGTCCCCGTCCCCGTCCCCGTCCCCGTCCCCTCTCTCGCTCCGCTCCTTTTCTACCGATTACGAACGCGGGTTCCTTCTCGAGAGAACACGATCAGCCAATCTTCCCCACGCTAATTCTTCCACTTTTTTTTTCTTCCTCTCTCACATCCGTCCCCTTATTTTTTCGTTGTTTCTCTTCACCGTTAAGCAAACCGCTTCGCCCCAGTTTTCCTCACCCACTATTTCTAGATGAGAAGAAGGGGAAGGGGAAGAGGCGTTTCCTCGTCCCTCGGTTAATCGATATTTCCGCAAGTACGCGAGACGCAAACGGCCGATTAGTAGGGTTGCCTATTCTAAATACAAGCGAGGGGAGATTTAACGGATCAATTTGCAATTTTCTCGAGTAAACAATCTATCCGCGCGATAAATACGAGGCGCGCAAAAGCGTAAAAGGCGATAGTATCGCTATTCGAAGCGGAGCGATTTCGTGTCCAATTCGCGCTCATTACCGTCGCACCGCGCCGGAGCCGGCCGCACGCGAGTCTTATCTGGCAATCTTATCAGCGCGCGCGAGATACATATTACTACTTTCACTACATCGGCGGCACGGGCCAAATTCTTCGAGAGCATACCACTCCTCGGACGGGCGGCTGTGGGCAACGCATTCTATTTCGCCGCGTTGTATCGCGCCGCACACTCGCCAGCCGCAGTAGAATGCGGATGAAGTAAATCGCATATTCGAGACACTCGAGAGCCGCGGCGATACTTCTCTCCTCGATAACACGCCGCGAGACAATATATTTATATACAGATAAAAAAAAAATCTTATTTATTTGTCTCATCGTTGTCTCGCCGCTTGCGCTCTCGACGATCGGAAAGAGAAAAGGATATAACTAAAAATAATCACCGGCGCGGCAGAAAAATAAATAATCGCGTAGGATTGCGTAACTTACTGAAGTCACCAGGACAAGATTTGCAGCATCGACCCGGGAGTAGAACTGGTTCGTCGCACGTGAGTTTGGGACAGTCATTCTTAATATTGCGGCATTGAACTCTCGCGATGATCCGTCGCTTCTTTTGCACCTGAAAGCAGAAGCGACAAAACCGCTGGTATAAAAATTAGAACGATCAAATAATAATAGTTGTTGCAGTCATCGTTGAGATGGGGAGGGGACTTTTCTCCGCGTGTGTGATCACAAGCGGGAAGAGGGACGGGGACGAATTTTTGATCGCGCTTCGGCGCAAAGGTGGAAGGAACGTTCGCGGCGACGCGATGCAACTGCTAAAAGTGCGGCCGCGAATCGCGCGGTTCCAGTTGCGGAGAAGAATTAAATCGGTGGTTTTATAGAGCGGCGCGCGGCATTCCTGACGCGACGCGAAACGATGTATACGTTCGACGCGATTGACTCGAGGATAAGAGGAAAAGAAGGGGAGCGGGATTGGCGGGCGGCTCGCGATTTGGAAGTGCCCAGGAAGTGCGGAGGCTGCAAATTCGGACACGTCGCGGGACACACGCGATAGGAGATCGTCGTCGAGCAGGACAATTTATTACGGACTCTCGAAGCTGATCGTTAACAGCTGGCTACTCTTTTAAGTATAGCATCGTATATTGACCCGTAACTCTTCTCATCTGGAGAGAGAGAGAGAGGGGCGAAAGGGGGAAAAGAGGGAATGAAAAAAGGGGGGGAGGGGGATAATCGCCCGATGTCCAACGTCCGACACAAGGCGCGACGACGACTTTAGGTGAAGAGACATGGCTTCTTCTCACTCCCGCGGCGACGTGTGATTCACGCGACGCGTCTGCTTCTTCCACCAACCAAGACCGCGACCTATCAATAGCTCCTCATGTACACTGTGAAGAGGGACTGTCATTCCTCCGAAGTCTAAAAATAGAGGCCGCGCGCTCTCGCGCTCCTCTCGTCCACGAGCCGAACATAACAGCGCGCCGCGGCGTCTCTCTCTCGTCTCTCTTTCGTCTCTCTTCCATCCATCTTTTCGGTCGATCGTAATATATCTTTGACGGAGGAAGGATTTTAACCCGTGAGAGAGTGCCTTGCGCGCGCGCGCGCGCGCGAGCGCTCGCTATCGAAACACGCGAAATCTCGGCGAAATTCAACTTGAGGCTCGATCAGCTCGAGTCGACTTACGCGTTCTCCAAATTGTTCCGCTCGAAAATATTATCTCCTTGCTCGTAATCGTGCCTGTTATTGCCGCATTACGAGAAAGATTAGAACTCCGCGCGGCTTCTAATGATCCGACCGTATACCAGCTACTTTAATGGCGTCGTACGTAACGATCGTACACCTCTCCCTGTGTGTGCGACCGTATAATTAATTTTCTCTTCTCGGTAAACTCATCAGATAGTGTCTCATTAGCATTTACACCGATTACTTATCGCGCGCTTTATCGCCGTTTAGTGCACATATAAATTTCTCGACATTTCCATATTAAGATTTAACGATTTGGCGCGCACGAAATTCTCATAACGACCGAACGACGAACTCGAGACTCGCTCGTTAACAATGCTTGAAATTTGATCTTCGAAAGTCGATTCGATTTGCTATCGATTTATTTTAACGGGTGGATGTGCGTGCGTGCGTGCGTGCGTGCGTGCGCGCATTCGTTCCTACGCGCGAAAACTCTCGGGAATGCAAAAAAAAAAAAAAGAACATAAAAAGGAAAGATATTCAGAGGTATGTAAGATACCTTACGCAAGGACATTATTACGAAGAATTTATACGTGCATTAAACGGCGATAAAGTACGCGATGAAAAATCGGCGAGCACTAATGAAACGTTGCACGAGGGAAGAAAGCTGATTATACGATCGCAAGAAGAGGCACCTACAGTCGCACGTAGCGCGCGCTCGTAGTACGCATAAAACAAACATGTTTTCTTGTGTTTACAAGCGACGTAACATCCTCCCGACGCGAATGTTAATACGATTACACCACTAGATGAACAATCTCATTATCCTTTACTGCATGTGAATGCGAAAAGGAGGAGGAGGAGAGGGAGAAGGAGAATTCGGTGTTGCACATCGAGATTCGCTGCCTTGTCACGGGTGGTGAGTGGATGAGAGGAGAGGGAGGGGAGCAGAAGAACACGTACAATCGGAATATAAATGATGATTATTGCGCGATCGCGAATAAATATGTATCTGTGTATTCCGTGACGTATGCACGCTCGCTCGCTCGCTCGCGAGTTGAGTCGAGTTGTATCGAATTCGCCCCGCTCCGCGAAGCGGCCCGTTCCCGATCCGGCGTCTCGACATTTGATACGTCACCGCTGTGTCAATATCGTGACATTTATGGGCCCGGGACGCTAAATTACATGCCGCGCGTGCAACGCGCGGGATACCGTAATTAGAAGAATGGCGCGATACATGCGTCGAGTTTTATTCCGATAGGGATTTATCCTCTCTCTCTCTCTCTC